TGGATATCACACATTTACAGTATGTGTGTACTGATGCACTTGCATTTATACGTACTAATGCCTGTATACCCACCATTTGGATTCCCACATCGATATCCATCTCACACATTCAATGTAAGCTCGAAGCTATAAATATCAGGCGGATGAGTTCACATCGATCCCATCACAAGCAAAGCAAAGCGAAGCCTAATCGTGTTCGTGTTGGCCATGGGGTTCAACAGAGCACAGTTGTTTGCTGCCTTCGCCCTGGGGTTGCTCATCATGTCCCACAGTAAGTTCAAATACTATCGCCACACCACAAGCCCACCCTGTTGCTACTTGAAAAGGTCCATCCATTCTTGTGATGAAAACAAAAATCTAATTCTGTGGTGCAGGTGTGGAGGCGGTTCGTCCCCGTCCCCGGATATGCCATTCCCCAAGCCATCTTTATCATGGCTCATGCAACAACAGGAAATGCGTGGAGGTGTGCCACCACGAGCACTTCACCGGCGGCTACTGCTCACGTAAAGGGGTTGTTAAAAGACTTCATTGTGAATGTACCATAAAATGCGGCCATTATAGTCCTCCACCGCCGTCAGAAGTGCCGGAGCCGCCGCCGTATGAACGGCCGCCACCACCACCAAGAGTCATGTAGGGGAGAAAAGTTTATGGAGCCATGAACCACTGATTGAAAGGATAATATTTGCGTATTCATGGAAATGTTCGATTTGTAAGGAACTACACATGCATCATTGATATCATGAAAATAATTTGTAGTGCCGTCAATAATAAGAAAAACCTTTTTAATTTGAGACTTGCCTTAGGGACTTGTGGTCGGTATTACTAAACCATCTCCGTTGCCATGATTTCATTTCTCATATTACGCACACTCATGTGCTATCATATATCATATCAAGCCCCCAATTGTCAGCGCTTGGTCATCCTTGAGCACGTGACCATCGACCTCCCCCACAAACGTTTCGGCAACCATCAGCATGTTGACGTCCTGCATAGCATGTTGGTCATCCATATTTGTGAATGCTTGGTCGCCCATGCCGCAAGCGCTTGGTGACCGTTGTCCATGTTGGCTAACGCTGGTCGACCATGTCGCTGAGAGCTTGCTAGCAGTCGCCAACGTCACCGAGAGCCTGCTGACCGTCCTCGGCCGCGAGTGATTTTGAATTTATTTGGCGCGATTAATTGCCTACCAAATTAATTAACTGGCTGTCTAATTAAAAAACCTATTCCAAATTATATGCATGCTTTATTAATTGCCTGCCTAATTAATTAATTTCATTAATAGCTCAATTTTAAATTGATTTGACGCAAAAAATCCTTATTAATGGACTCTCCTAATTAATTGCACAAGTAATTAATTGTTTAGATAAATAATCGTAGTAATGACTTGGTTTCAATGCTTGATTTAAAAATTATTTTCACATTAATGACTGTGTGCGAACAACTACATACACATACACCTTTAATAGTAGAGATTTGATATTTGTCTTCGAGGCGCGTGATCCAATTGAGCTCGACTCGACACTCACCTCAAAAGAAATAAGGTAATTGTGAATACCTTTTATAGCTCGGTCATAAAAGAGCCGAAATTAACTAAGACTAGTTTGCTAAATTTTGACTCTCCACATAGTTCGAATGAACATAGTTGGCGTGTTAGTTGCAATATCAAGAATGGAACTAGAATCATTTGTTTAACCTATTTTGAAAATTAACTTGATACTTTAGAAAAATACTCTGTGGCAAGCGTGCCTATATTAAGATGTAGGAAAACATATAAAGATGAGTACAAACTGGACGGCCCTTCCAACTAAACATCCACGGTGACTTTTGTGTCTGCCATTGTGGCCATCTGATGTCATGCTCCACCATCGCTGAAGTAAACACCGGAGAAGAATGACGCGGCTGACCATCATCCCATGAACAAGAAACACCATCACCTGATGGTTTTCGAAAAAGGGTTTCCCCCCGCTTTGTATATAAAGCAACCAACCAAAACATCCAACGATAGGTGTTGGGGCGGAAGCAGCACAGTCACGCCCAAAAAAAAATACAAGAGAAACAAACGCCGACAACGGCGGATCGACAAAGAAACAAAGAAGCCTCGTGGCCGCTGCACCCACCGGGGATCTCCCACCAGACTCCGAGCCTCCGAAGCACCGGTACCAATCAACACCTCCAAGAAGGGACGCGACGAAGACGACGCTGCTGCCAAGGGTTTCCCCCAGTACACAGTGAGGAAAGAGGAAGGGTAGCTCCGACGCCCTCCAGGAAGGTCTGGCGGCACCCACAAGCGCCACCGCGTCGATGTCGGCCAAGCCAATCGAGATTTCTCTCGATCCCAACCTCCAACTCAGGCACTCCGAAGCTCGCCGCCAAACAGACCCTCACCCTGCGCCACCCGGACACGAAGCGTTCAACGCTGTCTCACCACGACACTGTGAAGCATGGTCGGCACGATGAAGAAGAGGAGCCGGGACAAGGCAGCAGCACCGTCGGCACGCGGGAGGGCCCCACCTCCACCGCCGAAGACGGTAGCTGACTGGACGCAATGGCAGGAACACACCAGGCCCGTGGCCGCACAGGCCCGGCCGGGAACGCAGGCCCGTAAAGTTCCCGCCTTCGCGCTGCAGCCGGCACGCCGTCAGCTCCGCCGCCCCTGTCCAAGCCGCTTCCCTTCCTCCCCACGCCGAAAGCCGCCAAGGGAGGCACCACCACCACGCGCACCGCCGGCCACCATCACCAGGTCGCCGAACCGCCACCGGCCGAGCCGCACCACCGCCGCACGCCCACGACGGAGAGGAACCACCGCAGCCGCCAGCAGCCCGAAGCCGGACCCCAGCCGCCGCCCACGCCGCCCGCGGCCCCCGCCGCCTGCCGGGCAGAACCGGCCGCCGCGGCGAGGCGCGCTCCACCGCGCAGCCGGCCACGCCGCACCACGTGCCGTCGGAGGGCCGCGCGCCACCGCGCCGCGGTGCCCCGCGCCCGCATCGTGCCCGCCCGCGAAGGAGGGACCCGCGTCGCCCCAACACGCGGAGGAGGAAGAGCAGGGCCCCGCCGCCGCCGCCGCCGGTCAGGCCAAGCCCGGCCGCGCCCCCTGGCGGCGGCGAGGGAGGAGGGAGGAGGAGGGGAGACCGGCGGCGGAGGGATCTAGGCGCCCGCCCCGGCCGCGTACCTCTGATGGTTTTACTCTGTAGTAGCCGCGTACCTCTGAAGACAAGATCAAAGTCTTCGGCGAACCTACAAGGCCGAGGACACGCTCTAGGCCACCGTCGGACGTGGCCAAGGAAGACATCCAAATCTGCTCGCCACACACCCAAATTTACCATTGACTGCATTATAGATACTCCCTCGTATTAACATATAAGATGTTCTTTGACAATAGGAGTATGTCGGTACAGATACGTCGTAGAAAAATAGAGATGCAACTAAATACGGTGCAATTGAAGGCGCGTGACCCAGATCACGATGAGACTGGTCGGTACAGATAGTGGCACCTATGTAGCTCGGTCTCCACTAGGAACTTTTTCTAGATTACAAAAGTTAAACTTGAGTTAAACTGTGCTGACAATGGATAGTAAATAGTGGGGTCTCCTAGAGAGTTGATCTTCATTTACCGGAGCCCATATTAGCCAACCATCTCTTAGTCGGCATACTCCTTGGCATATTCATATTCAAGTGTCAAGTTCTTCAGATAAGTTCACAGAACTGGCGTCCTTACAATTTTCCTCTCCCGAGGAAGATCCTTGTTCTCGATTAGATGAACGAAACCACGAGAAGATTGTTTGGTTGAAGAATTTGGGGACGGCGTACTTGATGAAATGAACATCTTCCCAGTTGCTTTTACTGAGACATATTGAGCCACTAAACCAACCACTGGGAGTATTAATTAGAAAATAGGAACATCTTCATTACAATCGCGCAAGGTCAGGCTCAACAGGCAGGTCAGCGTTGTGCCTTGCATTAGAGCATCTCCAGCCGCGCCCCAAACAGCCCCCCCTCGCGACTTTTTGGGCGCCGGCGTCGAAAAACATTCCAGTCGCGCCCCCAAGACGCCGAAATCCGCCGGCTCGATCCGTTTTTGAGCCCGGCGATCCCAGGCCGATTGCTCGGGGGCTCCGGCTGAAGGAAAAAACACGCCTGGGCCACACTGTCAGGTGAAAAGTCAAGGAAATCGTCCAGGTTCGCCCCCACCCCCACGCGCTCGGCCACCACCCTTGCCGACCCCGGCGCCGCCCACCGCCTAGCACCGCTAGATAGGCCATTCCCCGCGGGAAAGGAGAGAAGGTTTCGCCGCGGCAACCTTGTCACCACCTTCCGGGCGAGTTTTCCAGTGCCCAGGCCGCGCAGGGCGGCATACAGGCGGCTGTGCGCCTACCAGACCCGCCAGGTGTTCGGCGATTTCTGCCCGGCCCGGCGATGGACTCGGACGACGAGGAGGCGCTCGCGGCGTTCCTGGAGGAGGAAGCCGAAGCCGACGTCCAGGAGGAGGAGCATCTCATGGTCCTGCCGCCCTCGCCAGCCTGCTCACGAGCAATGAAAAGCAACGGCGAGGTGGCTCGGCGCCGGGGTGGGTGATAGCAAAGAACCGACATCGTCTGGAAGGCTACTGCATGCTCTACTCCGACTACTTCGCCAACGTTCCATTGCACGGCGAGAAAACATTTCGGCGTAGTTATCTGATGAGCTGAAAACTTTTTCTCAGGATCGCGAATTCCATCCGGGAGTTCGACAGTTACTCCAAGTGCAAGAAGGATTGCACCGGCACACTTGGATTCACCTCAATCCAGAAGTGCACGACAGCTAAGGATGCTTGCATACGGAGCTGCCGATGATCCACTCGACGACTATGGCGCATGGCCGAGTCCACGACCATTGAGTATTTCTACAAGTTCTACAGGGCAGTGGCGGCAGTGTTTGGGCCGCAATACTTGGGATCACCCAATGCTGAAGACACTGCTCGTATCCTAGCACAGAATGCAGCAAGAGGATTTCCTGGGATGCTTGAAAGCATCGACTGCATGCATTGGAAATGGAAGAACTGTCCATTTGCTTGGCAGGGGATGTACAAAGGCACCAAAGGCGGTTGCAGTGTGTTACTTGAGGCAGTGGCTACACATGACCTCTGGATTTGGCACTCTTTCTATGGGATGCCAGGAACTCACAATGACATCAACGTCCTGCAGTGCTCCCCTGTCTTTGCCAAGCTTGTTGAAGGTCATTCTCCTTCGGTGAACTTCGAGGTCAATGGCGGCACTACAACAAGGGGTACTACCTAGCTGATGGCATCTATGCGAGATGGTCTACATTTGTGAAGATTATCTCAAACCCTGTGCCAGGAGGCAAGAACTCCCGCTTTGCGAAGGTTCAGGAGGCTTGCAGCAATGATGTCAAGCAGGCATTTGGTGTGCTCCAATCTTGATTTTCTGTCGTCCGGTACCCTGCTCAGACCTGGTCGAAAGATCAAATGTGGGAGATCATTACTTGCCGTGTCATCTTGCACAACATGATCATTGAGAGCGAGTAAGAAGAGCCAGTATTTGACACTGAACCATATTACAGACAGGGTCCTCTTGCGCAAGTTGATCATCAGTTACCGGCAACCTGGACTACCTCCCTCAATATGCGTCAGGAGATCCG